CTTAATATATAGTATAGACTAGCATATTACCCATGCTATGCACGGATTGTGTTTACAATTATATATATATGTACATTGTGATTTTTAAATGTCTTTTTTTTATATTATATTAAAGTTTAATATTTTGATAATAATCATATGTGTTGGATTTTTCAAGAATTTTTTTTTATGCTTGTTCTTAATGCATTAAAGTGTTATTATGAGATTTTTCAAGGAATTCATATGGGTTGGATTTCAAAAATTTTTTTTTTATGCTTGTTCTTAATGCATTAAAGTGTTAGTATGAGGATAAGACTTGGGGGTTGTGAGAAGTTAATAAATGCTAAGGTTTTTTTTTTTTGAAATCTAAAAATCAGGAAATTTAGATTGGGAGATTGGAGCTCCCACAAGGCTTGGGGTTAAAAACCCCCTTTTGCTTAATATATAGTATAGATAGATAGATGTGTTAGACTTTTCGAGGAATTAAATGTCTTCTTTTTTTATTATACTATATTAAAGTTTAATATTTTGATAATAATCATATTTGATAATAATCATGTGTTGGACTTTTCAAGAAATTTTTTTATACTTGTTCTTAATGCATTAAAGTATTATTATGAGGGATAATAATCATATGTGTTGGGATTTTTCAAGGAATTCATATGTGTTGGATTTCAAAGAATTTTTTTTATGCTTGTTCTTAATACATTAAAGTGATATTATGAGGGTAAGACTTGGGAGTTAGGAGAAGTTAATAAATACTAAGTTTTTTTTTTAAATTAAAAAATCAGGAAATTTAGATTGGGAGATTGGAGCTCCCACAAAGTTTGGGGTTAAAAACCCCCTTTTGCTTAATATATAGTATAGACTAGCATATCACCCGTGCTATGCATGGGTTGTGTTTACAATTTTCTATATATGTGAATTGCGATTTTTAAATGTCTCTTTTTTTTTCTTTTTTAAATGTCTTCTCTTTTTTTTTTCTTTTTTTATATTATATTAAAGTTTAATATTTTGATAATAATCATATGTGTTGGACTTTTCAAGGAATTAAATGTCTTTTATATATATATATATATTATATTAAAGTTTAATATTTTGATAATAATCGTATGTGTTGGACTTTTCAAGAAATTTTTTTTATGCTTGTTCTTAATACATTAAAATGTTATTATGAGAGATAATAATCATATGTGTTAGGACTTTTCAAGGAATTCATATGTATTGGACTTTTCAAGAAATTTTTCTTATGTATGTTCTTAATGCATTAAAGTGTTATTATGATGGTAAGGCTTGGCGGTTGGGAGAAATTAATAAATGCTAAGGTTTTTTTATTTTTAAATCAAAAAATAGGGAAATTTAGATTGAGCTATTAGAGCTCCCACAAGACTTGGGGGTTAGAAACCTTTTTTCCTTAATATATGTATATAGATACTAGCCTATCACCCGTGCTATGCACGGGATAATTAGAGATTTTTATATTTGTTTTAGATTTGTTTTAATATATAAATTATGTTTTTTAAGATTTTTTTATAAAAATACTTTAACAATCTTATCACTAACCATAGTATATGAGAGAAGTTGAAAAGGGTACTGCAGTAAATATACACGGATTGTATCTATAATTATTTGTTTGAGGGGATTTTAAATGGTGATCATGAGATTTTCACCAAATCAATAAATGCAGGCATGTGAAAAGACATATGGATTGAAAAAAGTTAATAAATGCTAATCATGGGATTTTGACCAAATCAATAAATGTTGAATTTTTTTTTTAATTAAAAATTTAGAAAATTCAGATTGGGATATTGAAACTCCCACAGGCCTTGGGGGTTAAAAACCCCCTTTTACTTAATATATAGTATAGATATATTGTAACGCCCTCAGCCTCCGCTCGAGCTCCCAATCCCTACGCTCGAGCTCACAACACTGCACAACAAGATACTGGACGGATGTATTCCCCGCTCGAGCGCCAACACCTCCGCTCGAGCGGACAGGCCAAAAATCTGGGCAACTAGTTTTGGTTTCTAAACCCAACCAACCTGTAACCAACCCGCCCAACACATCCTATAACTCAAATACAAAGTAAGAAAGGATGTAAACAAGATAATAAACAACTATCAACATCCACGGACACATGTCCGGATCACTATACAACACGGGTAAACCCGGGATCGCTATATATATATTGAGAGAGAGATTTATAATCTGGCTTTGGGCCGTGGTAGAAGCTGGATAGGATAGGGCCGAGCATGATTGGGCTGAGCTAACTTAGGCTTGTTCAGAGTGGGTTTTGCTCGGTCGAGGCTCGGGCCCCCTGTTCAGTCCGAGCTAACTTGGGCTGCCCCGGAGTTGGTCTTGCTCGGTCGAGGCCCAAGCCCGAGGTCCAGGTCCCATGTTTGGACCGAGCTAATTTGGCCGGGATGATCGTCGGCTACCCCGGGTTCCATGGTTCGCACGTTTACCTCGGCAGGAAAGGCCTTCTGTTTACTAGCTAGATCGATCTTGAACTCAGCTCTGCCAGAATGCTACTGAGCTCGGTTGTTATAGAGCTCGGCAAGTGGAGCACTCGGACTCGTTACGCAGCACGGTCGTGTGAGGCCGAGGTGATGCCGTCGGGCTGCCAAGTTCCCGCTAATGTTGTCTGGCGGTTTGGTTAGGTGGTGTTCGCTGGATTTGTGCTGACAGATGGGAGAACAGCTCCACGTGTCAAGAGACTAATGGGTGCAGAGTTGAGCGCAGAAAGTATATAAGCATGACTGCACCCCCCATGCTGGGGATGGGAGATCATTTGGTGAGAAACCTTCATTGTGCTATATCTCTCTCTTCCTCTCTCTCCCTGAGTGTGTGCTAACTTGACCGTCGGAGAGGTTTTCCGGCAACACACCGCCGGGCAGCTCACCGCCGTTGTGCTCACAGGTCGATCGGATAGATAAGGAGCTTAGACGAAAGGAGTATAGACACTGACAAACATTTCCTCCCCTACAATTGGCGCCGTCTGTGGAAAGGTTCAACATAAAAAATCTTGTCTTCCAAGCTCATCCGATCGCTTTCAATGGCGAACAACGACGAAATACCGCTATTTGCCATTGACGGTATTACCCCGGAATCAGCCAGACGGAGAGACGGACTCCCCGCCGTTCAGAACATGGCGGACCTGGAGACTTCCCCAAGAGGACATTCAAGAGATGCACGAGATAAGCACACTAGAAGTTTCGGTCATTCACGGAGCCCAGACGGACACCGGCGGCGAAGAGAATCGCATGCTAGACATTTGGAGCACAAGTTAAGGGACCATGACACCATCATCCAGAGAATGGCGGCAGAGATGAAAGCTCTCAAACGCCAGGTCAAAGGGAAGGGTGTTGCTGGAGTGGGAGACCACAATGAGTGCACCCAACCCCACCGTTCAGGCAGCCAGAGCCAGCGGTGCACTCCCTCCCTTTCTGTCACCAGAAGCTATAGGGGTGGAGACCTAGACTCGCCTGCAGATAAGTCTAGCGCGCAAATAGTACCTACCATCCCTCTCGTCCGGCGACCACTTCGGGATATTCTTACTCCGTCCGTTCAGAGGACTTGAGGGATGTCCTGAAATAGCGAGCTCGCCGATGGGAGGCCGAAAGGGTACCGGCACTCCAGCGGCTATCTTACGGGGGTCACGCCAGTGAGGAGGTCATAATGCCGGCACCCTGTCCAGCCGTGCCTCTCCCTCTAGACACAGATTTGGCGAGGCTGAACGCCACTCCCTTCTCCCTTGAGATAGAAATCACACCGCTCCTGGCGGGCTTTCACCAGCCCAAGTTTACACTTGATGACGGAAAGACCAATCTGTACATGTATGTAAGCCACTTCCGGCAGGTTATGGCCGGACATAGGCGCAATGACGCTCTTATGTGCCTTATTTTCTCGTCAAGTTTGGGCGAATTAGGCTTGAAATGGTTTGAGAGGCTGCCGGAGGAAAGCATCGAAAAGTGGCAGCAGTTGGCGGAAGCATTCATGACTCGTTTCAAAACCAATACCAAAACACCAAAGGAAGTGGACCACCTTCTCAGTGTCAAGATGGAGTTGAGTGACACTCTCAAGGCATACAACTCCAGGTACTGGGAAACATTCAACGAGATTCTAGATTGCCCTATCAACCTGGAAATCAACCAATATAAGCGCGGTCGCCCGGTCAGACATAGGCTGCGAGACTCGCTTACCATGAACCAGCCGACATCCATGGGGCAACTAATGTAGCGCATCAATGAGCACATCCGAGTAGAGGATGATGCGACAGTGTCCACCACGAAGACAACTCCGGTGGTAACAGACAAGAGGTCGGTTGGCAAGGTACACGCGGTCGAACAGGAGCCTAACCGTCCAAATGATCGCGCCGGGGAATTTGACCGTAGACCAAATCATCGAAACCGGGGTAGGGGTCATCGAAATGACCAAGCAGAATAGCCCCACGATGATGCAGCTGATGCTAACAGAAGGTTGAACGCTCGGCTGGCAAGGTACACGCGGTCGAACAGGAGCCTAACCGTCCAAATGATCGCGCCGGGGAATTTGACCGTAGACCAAATCAACGAAACCGGGGTAGGGGTCGTCGAAATGACCGAGCAAAATACCCCTGCGATGATGCAGCTGATGCTAACAGAAGGTTAAATGCTCGGATGAGCATCACCACGGTCTTTAAGATTCCAATATATCGCATACTTAGTGAAATTCGTAACGAGGATTACGTTCGGTTTCCTGCTAAGTTAGGCGATGCGCAAAAGGGCTTCAATCCGCGGTACCGCTGCACATATCATCGGGAGCGAGGATATCGGACAGAGGACTGTTTGCCTTTGAAGCAACACTTGGAGGAGTTAGTCGCCGCCGATCACTTAGACCTTTACATTGATGGGGGCGTCAAAGCCGCGCATCTTGCCCCGGCTGATCCGAAAGGTTTGGGTGACTTAGAAGTGCCCGCTCAAGGAGTGGCCAATGTGATCCACGGCATAGTGGAGCCGGTGCATATGTGCGAGCTCCGAGGAATGATAAAAAAGGTGGAACATATAAGGGAAGTTTTGTCAGTCCAGCCCGCGGTTAAAAAGGGCAAGACCGAGGAGAAAGACGTGATTAGTTTCCCCACAAGGGACCTAGAGCGCATTCAAATGCCACAGAACGACGCCCTAGTGGTCACCCTCCACGTCAGAGAGTTTGATGTCAAGTGCATCTTGATTGACCAGGGAAGCTCGGTTGAGATTATGTACTACGATACGTTCAAGCAACTCAAACTCCGAGATACAAACTTGGCTCCGGTAACTTCGCCACTGGTTGGTTTCAACTCGCAACCGGAGTGGCCTATGGGAAAGATAATTTTACCGGTCAAAGCTGGATTCGTGGTCAAGCAGGTGGAGTTCTGTGTATTGAAGGTGCCGTCTACGTATAATTTGATCCTCGGTAGGGGATGGCTTCATGCTATGCAGGCTGTAGCGTCAACCCACCACCAGGTTATGAGATTCCCCTCAGCTATGGGGGAAATTGAGGAAATTTGGGGCGATCAAGTCATGTCGAAGCAATGCTTCGTGGTAGTGAACGGGAGCCAGGCTACCAAAGTCTTTGTCCAAATGATTGAAGGACCGGAAGGCTAGGGAGTCCTTGAAGATGTGGGCGCCAAGGCTGAGGACAAGGCTGTGGAAGAGTTAGTGGAAGTGCGGATCGACACCGAAAGTCCAAACAAATTCTTTTTGCTAGGGTCAAGCCTTACCGCCCAAGAAAGAACCAAGATGGTAGATTTCTTGATGGCGAATATCGAAGTCTTCGCCTGGACGTCGTATGACATGCCCGGCGTTGACCCAAGCTTTATCTGCCACCAACTCAATGTCTTCCCGGATGCACGCCCTATCATTCAAAGAATAAGGAGATCGGCTCTTCATCATGCCGAGGTAGTCGCAGAGGAGGTAAGGAACTTGCTTGAAGCACGGGCTATTCAGGAAGTACACTACCCTCAGTGGATTTCAAACACAGTCGTAGTACCAAAGAAGAATGGGAAGTGCCGAGTTTGCGTTGACTACAAGACCGTCAACCGAGCTTGCCCTAAAGACAACTTTCCTCTGTCCAGAATAGACCAGCTAGTGGATCTAACGGCCAGATATAACAGGCTCAGTTTCTTGGATGCCTACCGCGGTTATCATCAGATTTCCATACATGGCCCCGACCGTGAGATAACCTCTTTCACCACTCTGAGGGGACTCTTCTGCTATCGAGTCATTCCTTTTGGTTTGAAGAATGCTGGGCAACTTTTCAAAGGATGGTGACCAAAATGTTCACTCCTTTGCTAGGCCGGATGATGGAGGCTTATATCGATGATATGGTTGTCAAAAGCAGGCATCAGGCAGACCACTTGTTCGACCTAGTCGAGATGTTCGCCATTCTCAAACAGCACAAGCTACGCCTGAATGCTTCTAAGTGTGCCTTCGGCGTGGGATCCAGGAAATTCCTAGGCTTCCTAGTCACAAACCGAGGCATCGAGGCGGACCCCACACAAATCAAAGCCATACAAGAATTGAAGCAGCCCAACTCGGCGACGGACGTGCAGCATCTGGCCGGAATGGCCGCCGCGCTTAACCGATTCATAAGCCAGTCATCAGATCGCTGCCACCCTTTCTTTCGAGCCCTAAAATCCAAGTTTTCATGGGACGAGGAATGTGGCAGGGCTTTGGCCGAGCTCAAGGCGTATCTGTCTTCTCCTCTATTATTGGTGACATCCAAGCCGGCGAAGAACTCTTCCTTTACCTGGCCATTTCTCACCATGCAGTTAACGCAGTGCTTGTCCAGTCAGAAGGTATCCAGCATTTCCCCATCTTCTATGTGAGCAAAACGTTGCTACCGGTAGAGTCGAGGTACTTGTCGCTGGAAAAACTTGCTTTGGCGTTGATGATGGCCCCCAGGAAATTGGCCCACTATTTTTATGCTCACACAATCGTCATGTTGACCGAGTTCCCCCTCAAAGCCTTGTTCAAGCGGGCGGATTTCTCCAGTCGAATCCTCAAGTGTGCGGTCGAATTGGGACAATTCAACGTCAAGTTCCAACCCCGAACTGCCATAAAAGCACAAACATTGGCCGATTTTGTCGCTGAATTCTCGCATGGAATTCATCCAGTATGCCCGGTGGATCTTGCCATGGTAGCCAAGGAGCCGAACGCAAACTCAATAGAAATTGCACAGTAGGGCGATGTTGGCGATGCGGAACTTGTGCGCCCCGCCATAGAACCTCCAACCGGCACAGTACTGCAGCCTGGCAATGCGACGCCGGACTTGGGAATAACAGACCAACCTGTTGGGTCCGGTGCCGCATCGCCCAGGGGGGATGAAATGGAACCGAACAGGAGCCAACTAGAAACCGAACAGCCGAGCGACCGTGATCCCATCAACCTTCAAGCCTCCCAAGACCCATCAGAGTGTTGAAAGCTCTTTGTCGGTGAAATGTGGAAACTTTTTGTAGATAGAGCCTCAAATCATCGCGATGTCGGGCTCGGCATAGTTTTGATCTCGCCAGATGGTCTGACCATCGAGCACTCTATCACCCTCGGATTTCCTGCGTCAAACAGCGAGGCTGAGTACGAGGCGCTATTGGCCAGGCTCAAGAGCGCGCTTTAGTTGCGCACCTCCGAGCTGATGGTTTACAATGACTCCCAACTTGTTATCAACCAAGTGTCCGGGGTCTACGAAGCCAAAGACGACAGAATGGCCAAGTACCAAGCTCTCGTAAGAGAACACATCAAGCGATTCCAGGCCATAAGGGTCCAACAAATTGGTCGTGAAGAAAACGACCGTGCGGATGAATTAGCCGGCCTAGCTTCCATGGTCGATAGAACATCTCCCAGCCCTCTCCTGATTGAGTTTCTTCCAAGGCCTAGTATTGAGGAACTCGAGCAGACAGAAGTACTCTGCACCGAGCGTGGCCCTTCTTAGATGGACCCTATTATCCTCTTCCTGAAAGAGCGGACCCTTCCGACCGATAAAAAGGAAGCGCATAAAGTTCGGGTGAAGTCAAAGTGATTTTGGCTCTCTCAATCTGGTGCTTTATACAAGAAGTCATTCACCGATCCTTACCTCAAGTGTGTGCACCCAAACAGCATGAATGCATTCCTGTACGAGATTCATGAAGGCATATGCGGAAGTCACATTGGGCGAATATCTTTAGCCTACCGAGCTATCTCGCAAGGATATTGGTGGCCGTGCATGCAAGCGGACGCTCAAAAATATGTTAGAAAATGTGAGAAGTGCCAGAAGTTTGCCCACCAAATTCACCAGCCGGCCAGAGAACTTCTCCCCCTCACAAGCCCTTGGCCTTTTGCGATGTGGGGGCTAGACATAGTGTGACCACTCCCAACGGCACCAGGCAACCGGAAGTTCTTCATTGTGGCTACGGATTATTTCACCAAATGGGTGGAAGCTGAGCCCTTAGCGAGTATCAAGGAGAAAGACGTCAAACGGTTTGTCTGGCAGAATGTGATAATGCGATTTGGCGTCCCCAAGATTCTAATTTCTGATAATGGGACCCAATTTGACGGGCGCTTATTCAGAGGATTTTGTGAGAAATTGAAGATCGAATTCTACAACTCCACACCGGCTTACCCACAGTCCAACGGCCAAGCCGAAGCATCAAACAAGACCATTCTTGATGGGTTGAAGAAAAGACTTGAGAAAGCCAAAGGAAAATGGGCCAAGGAACTCCCAAGTGTCCTTTGGGCATATCGGACGACCCCGAGGCGATCTATCGGGGAAGCTCCTTTTGCCTTGGCATACGGTATGGAGGCGGTCATCCCATTGGAAATTGGCATGCCCACCATTCGCAGTGAAAATTTTGAGCCCAAGATGAACTCTGAGGCAGTCGCCCTGGAATTGGACCTAGCTGAAGAGCGCCGAGAAAAAGCTTGGATCCACGTGGCCGCATACCAACAAGAATTGTCCAGGAATACAACAAAACCGCGCACCCCAGACCGTTTAAAGTGGGCGACTAGGTTTTAAGGAACGTCATAGGCAACACACTGGTACCGGGCGAAGGCAAGCTAGGGGCAAACTGGGAAGGGCCTTACAAGATAACCGGTCTGGCGGGCAAAGGGGCATACCACTTGGAAGATTTGGAAGGAAAAGGCATACCCTGGCCATGGAATACGGCCAACCTCAAACTGTACTATTTTTATTATTTGACATTCTTATGTAATTTTTTGTGGAAGGACTTGCTCTCCCTGTACTTCTGCATGTAATACTCTTTTTGTCAATATAATAGAAGTGACTTATCTTTGCTGATGCATTTTGTTGTTTTCGATGCCTACTTTGAGATTTCAACCGAGATATTTTACTCCGGTTGAATGAGTTGATGATTCACTCAACTCTATGGTTTTAACCGAGATGTTTTACTCCGGTTAAATGAGTTGATGATTTACTCCTCTGTGGTTTCAACCGAGACGTTTTACTCCGATTGAATGAGTTGATGATTTACTCAACTCTGTGGCTTCAACCAAGATGTTTTACTCTGGTTAGATGAGTTGATGATTTACTAAACTCTGTGGTTTCAACCGAGATGTTTTACTCCGGTTGAATGAATTGATGATTTACTCAACTCTGTGGTCTCAACCGAGATGTTTTACTCCAATTAAATGAGTTGATGATTTATTCAACTCTGTGGTTTCAACAGAGATGTCTTACTCTGGTTGAATGAGTTGATGATTTACTCAAGGCTTTAGCCGAGATGCTTTGCCCCGGCTAAAGGGTTGGTGATTTGCCCAACTCAAAAGATTTAACTGAAGTGCTTTACCCCGGCTAAAGTAGTTGACGTTTTGCTTACGGGTTCCTACCGAGATGATGGAACACAGTCTAACAAGTAGTGCAACAGTTAACGAAATCAAAACTTTTCATTGATGTGAAACTGAATTACATAAGGTGGGGCATGTAGCCTGGTTACATTCTTAAAAGAAAAAGAAAGAAAACTAAACTAAGGGGGAAAGGTCAGCAAAGTCATCCCCGGTTGCAGTTGCCTCCAGGTCAACCGTAGTTGTGGTTTCTTGGATGCTAGTCTCCACCTGGCCGGCCTACTTTGGGCGGTTTTCTCCCTCGGCATTTTCCTCGGCTTCGTCCCCGCTTTCCTCCTCGGCCTCAGCCTACAATGCACTGAAGACGTCGTTGGCATATGGCACCATGTACGTCGGCAGAAAGGCAGCTGGGGAAGAGGTAAACACGTCGGTTCCAGATCCTTGGCCGAGCTATTTGCAAGCAGCCTTCCAACTGGACTTGAAGAATATGTCCTTGGTGGCCTCGACTTGCTTAGTGTAGCTTTCTTCGCCCTCCTTGAAACCTGCGTTGTTGGCCTCGTCCACCTCATCCTTTCTTGATTGTTTCAATGCTTCCAGCTCGGCCCGGAGAGCGCCCCTTTCTTTCTCGGCAGCTCCAAGTTGGCCGAGCAATTTGGAGTTGTCTGTGTTTGCAATCTCCAAAGAAGCCTTTGACCATCCTAGCTCAGTCTGTAGATGCTCAACCTGGCTAGCGGCGTCGGTCGCCTTTTGCTGGAGTCTGTGAATCCTCTCCATTACGAGGTGTTGTTTCTAGATGGCCTGCAAGAAGAGAGTTTGATTAGAGAAAGGGAACC